TCCTGCACTAGATTGCCATTTATTTCTTAGGAGCACATGAAGCATTAGGACATTTAATCTTCAGTGTTACCTCACAAGTGGTTTCTCAAAATTTATGGAACTTGAGGCTTTAAAGGGATGACATCAGTGCCTAGACCAAATCTCAAGGCTCTTCTTTGGCTTAAATGCTCATATTCATATTTGGAATTTGGTAAAGATCATAAAATCATGGCTACAAAATACTAAATTTATGTTTTTCTAGACCATAAAGACAGTACTGCCAAAGAGCCTTTATGAAATTTGGGCACGATTTGGATGTCAATCAAGACATAGATTGAGATGAACTAGCTGAGGAGATAATTTAGAAGATTGACTTCTGTGGAGATTTTTACTGTGGGACATTAAAAAGGAATGGCATGTATGCAGAAAAGCCAAGAAAACTATCGGAAAGTAAAACTGAATGGTGACACTAAATTATAAGATAGGGCATAAAGGATATCCATCATCCAGAAATATAAGAGGGTGATATGCTTTTTAAAATGTAGCTTTTTGTTTTCTGGACACATAAAACATAAATTGTGTTATGATTCATTTGGGCTGTTTAAGGCGGGGGGAGACAGTGGAGAGGTAATTTACTCAACCAGTCATTTTCTTAAATGTGAAGTCTGACAAGCTCTAGTTTCAAGCATGCACTCTCTTTTGAGGGTAAGGAGTGGATTGGAGACAACCTGAATCCTACTCTAGCATCCTGCCTGGTATGTGCTTAGAAAGAAAGATTTTCCCGCACACATGTACTATTAGGGTTTGATACTAAGGTTTTGGGCGAATGGTCATGGTGATAGAGAAGACTGTTTTGGGATCAAGGGCAGTGAAGTGGATTTTCCTGTCTCACCTAGCACAGTTCAGCCCACTGCTGCTTTGCCCAGAGGAAAATCCAGTGAGGGAGTGTTGAAGGTTTCATCAGAAGAGTAACATCTTCCACCGTAATTTTGAGTCATTTTATATATAGTCATTTTATTAAAATCTCAGGATATGTAAAATATAGGGTGTCACAGAATATGTTTACCGTTACAGCTGGAAGTGATCATACTGAAGTCTATAATTTGGCTTCATGTTGCTTAGGAGCTTTCTGTTAAACAAAACATCTCATATCTTTACTTGTTTCCATATGAGCACATATATTTTATTGAATGTGAGAAGTGACATTAGCAAGGCAACATACATGATTTAAACAGGGCTGGACTCTGGATTGGAGCCCATTTACGTTCAAATATTGACATCTACTATTCTGAGATAATTCACGGATCCCTAATGGTAAGACTGAGTCTGGCCAAATGAGGATTCCTGGCGTACTTTCCACACATTTGAACTTTACAATAACCTATGGTGTGTGTGCTTTATGTTTGGTCAATTAGCAACCAAAGCAGCCAACAGGCATAAGGGACCCTTTGAGAAAGGAGTGTTTTATTGCTGTGGAATTTTGTGGGCTGTTTGGATCTTTCCTCCCACATATCTCAAACATAAAATGGAAGGGCTTAGAAATCAAAAAGAAAAATGGAAAATAGTTCTACTATTCTTTTTGATCCCATGTATGTATTCCAAACAAATTATCTGGAGAAAAATTCATTCATGCCGACTTTACTGTTTATAGCTAAACAATTCTATGTAGCTAATTCTCATAGGCTTGAATTAACATAGGCCACCAACACACATCTTCAAAATGGGCAACGTTACCTCAAGTAAAACCATTCAATGATGAACAATATTCACTTAAGCACAGCCTCACTTTTAAAAAGTCATTAGTCATTTGCTCAACCATGTTTGTAGCAGCTTTATTTGTAATAGCCAGAAGCTGGAAACAGCCCAGATGCCCCTCAACTGAAGAATGGATGCAGAAACTGTGGTACATCTATACAATGGAGTATTACTCAGCAATGAAAAATAAGGAAATCATGAAATTTGCAGGTAAATGGTGGGACCTGGAAAGGATCATCCTGAGTGAGTTGTCCCAGAAGCAAAAAGACATGCATGGTATATACTCACTCATATAAACATACAACATAGAATAAACCCACTAAAATCTGTACATCTAAACAAACTAAGCAAAAGAGAGGACCCTAACTAAAATGTTCAATTCCCATCCTGAAAGGCAAAGAGGATGGACATCAGAAGAAAACGAAAATAGGAAACAACCTCGGAACCTGCTACAGAGGACCTCTGAAAGCCAGAAGAAAACAGGAAACAACCTTGGAACCTGCCACAGAGGGCCTCTGAAAGCCTCTGCAGTATAGACTGTCAAAGCAGATGCTGAGCCTGATGGCCAACTGATGGGCAGAATGAATGGAATTTTATGTAAGAAGTGGGAAATAGTAAGAGCAGGAGGGGACGGGAACTCCACAAGCAGAGCAACAGAACAAGATAATTTGAACACAGGGAACTTCCCAGAGACTCATACTCCAACCAAGGACTATTCGTGGAGATAACCTAGAACTCCTGCACAGATGTAGCCCATGGCAGCTCAGTGTCCAAGTGGGTTACATAGTAATGGGAAGAGGGACTGCCTCTGACATAATCTGATTGGCCTGCTCTTTGATCACCTCCCCGTGAGGGGGGAGCAGCCTTACCAGGCCACGTTAGAGGACAATGCAGCCACTTTTGATGAGAACTGATAGACTAATATCAGAAAGAAGGAGAGGAGAACCTCCCCTATCAGTGGACTTGGGGAGTGGCATGCATGCAGAAAGGGGAGGGAGGGTGGGATTGGGAGGGGAGTAGGGAGGGGCTTATGGGGGGGCTACAAAATGAATAAAGTGTAATTAATAAAAAAAAAGTCATTGGTCGGTTTTCCCATTTGTATATGAGACATTTCCATCCCCAGTAGATATCATTTTAAAATAGTATGAGAACTTTCCTACAAAGGGACTAGATTGCTAAACTAATGGAGCTAACGGAGGTATCACCTCGTGATTCTTAGAACATATTTGTGACAGGTACAAAATCAATTATTATTATCTGAGAGACAGCGCGTAGCGATAGTTCCCTCTCTGTTTACTTGCAGGTGTGCATGCATATTCATCCGTCTGTGGATGTGCCTATGCAGTGGTGTGGCACACACATTTGCACAGGGAGACCCAAGGGCGATCTCCAATGTTGTTTCTTCTCATGAGTTGTCTTCCTTTTCCGAGGCAGGGTCTCTCACTGGGACTTGAGACTAGCCGATTAGAATACTCTATCTAGCCAAATACCTGTGGGGGTCTATTTGTGTCTGCCCCAGGAGTGTTGAGATTACATGGGCAGTTCTCCAAGCCAGGCATTTTCCACAGGTGCTGATGATAACACTTGAGTCACTTTACTGACTGACACATACTTTAGCATTCACAACAATATTTCTTTAAAAATGATATTATTTTAAAAATCATGTTACATCTGAATAGGATTGGTGTGAAAATAATCAATAGCCTTTTTTCCCCCAGGATAAATAATAGATGCTATTTAGTTCAAATTTCTACTAGGACACTTAAAACTTTAAGTATTCCCATTATTCCTTGAAAAATTAAACAATACATTCACATTCAATCAAAATTAATGAATGTTTCTAATATTTACAATGTTATATTTATTATAGCCATGTAACAAAACACATGCAGACATAGATAATAGTCAGATTAGAAATAACTTCTAATTTTTTCTCCTGCTCATGTTTCTGATCTTTATCTTAACTTTTAAGATACAAGTACATAAGTTCTTCAATATATTGAATTAATAAAAAGCATTCTTCTATTTATAAAATGGTGGAGTCCTAATACAATATTTTCACTTGAAATAGGTCCATGGAAAATGAGTAAATATTAGATTGTCTAAATGGAGTATGCTACTTGAAAAACAGGAGGAGTGTCCTAGTACAGGCACTTTGCTCAGAGACATGAACACAACCTTTGCTCGTATTTAGTGATCTTTTTCTTCTTCAAAGTCAGGAGAGTACTCTACAGGAGAGCCATTGGCCCTGACTGTTTAAAAGTGAGTGATTTTTTAACCATTTGCTCCAACACCTCCTGTTTCTCCCACAATTCCACTGAGGCTTTATGAGTCTGATGCCAACACATTGAGCATATACTCAAGGGGGCCGGCATTTCAAGAAGGTAAGGGATGTTGCAAAGCATGTACAGGGGCTAAGTACAGTGGTGCCTCCTCCCCTCTAACATACACAAAACAGGAATATTCTACACACCTAGTAAATGAAATCAAGATTATTTGCATCATAAAATGTGAAGAGTGTTTTGTGATCACCGCAGAAGGCACTTGAGGAGAAAGCAGGATAATTGAGTTCAGTTACAATGTTCATGTTTGCACGCTAGTACTTCCTGTTCATTAGTGTCCCTGTCATTGAGAAGTTTCTCCAGCAGAGGGAAGCACAGCTTCATTATCAATCTCATAAACTGAACTAGGGAGAATGTGCTTGCACTGCAATTCATACATTTTAAATGGAGGTTGTAGGATGTTTCTGATTAAATAAGCTACTCTGACATTTAAAATGGCTCAATAGCATGCAGCAGCATATTGGTTCTAAATTGCCCACTTCAAGGAAATCTACACCTAGTATTTAATGTAAGGACATGACTTCGTTGTCTGCATGACTCAAACACCCAGAAAAAGTATACTGGCTTACCATTACCAGCATGTAGACATATGGCTTGCTTGGTCCATTTTAACATTAATTATTTTGAATTTATTTGACATATTTTAATGAAAAGTTCTGTTGCGTATCTCTTTGTGTTGCTAACATATAAGAGGATGCTCAGAGACTTAGCTTCCTTTTGTTCACGTAAGAAATTTTTATCTTGCAAAGATCTAAAATATTGAATCTATTATACCAGTGATCAAAAAATATATTCCTGTTTGGTTTCTTCTTCAGCATTGTCTTCATTCCAGATCGTAACCCCCTCCCCCACGTGTGTTGGGGAAGGTGTGAGGGCTCCTGTCATCCTGGCATCGGAGGTCGCGCTTGGGCAGGGGGCACTTACCGTGATGCTGGAAGTCCGAGCAGTGCGTCAGCGGATCTCCGTTTCTTATATCCTGTCGTCTTGTGCGTCTAAAAAGATGGCATTCAAGAGACATTATTCTACCTTGCTTTCTCAGTTAGACATTTCCGATGCGAATGAAGAATGAGACATGTACTGAATATTGCGGACAAGAGGGGAAGACCTGCATTTGTATCCAGGGTGGCTCTATGAGGGGTCTGAAAGGTGATCAAGCTGGGAAACTAGTGTCCTGAATTCTAGTCACGGCAGCCAAAGGTCTTTTAAATAGACTGCCTGGTTTGTTTTCTAGCAGGTATCAGTCAATAAAAATCTGGCACTGAGAAGATCTGCGTTAAATTTTGGAGGAAATAAAGTACAATATTTTGAAACACAAACCCATTTCTTCAATAAACATAACTGAACTATTTTTCTGATCATCAGTGTGGGTGTAAGCTTGAAAATTGGAATTCGCATGAGTGATGATTTTCCTCATTGCTCAAACATATTTTAAAATATATTATTGTCTAGCTTTAGAATGTATAAACTAAGAATTCTTTATTGAATATTAAACTTTGTTCCACCAGTATTTTATAGAAAAGCATCCTTATTGCATTTTTTTTCCAAGTCAGCCATCTTTATTTTGTTTCCACATTTCAAACGAATCCACCTCCAGTTAAACCCAAAATGATGTTTACTTAGTCCCCTTGGCTTTCCTGTCAGGAAAGTGAGTCATGACTGCAAAAAAGATGGCTTGAAGTAAAATAGAATTCTTTTTTTTTGCCACCCCCACTTTAACAGAGCAGAAGTATGGTACTGTTGCTAGGCTGTGATATTATTCAAACTTCTCATGCTAAAACCCAAGTGGATACTCTCTCCAGAATGGCCTGTTCCAAGTCAGAGAGGAGGAACTTAGGGCTATGTGATCATGGAACTCAGGCTGGAAGACTGCTGGGTTCTGAATAATTTGTTGGAGAAGAGATCACATTGACAAGTTTGAATTGCACAGCCTCATTGCATTTCATTTGACGTTTTGCTGTGGGACTAAACTCAGAGTGATTGTAAGTGCTGCACCATTGAACTATACCACCAGCATTTAGTTCTTTTTTTCTTTCTTGTTTTACGTAGGGTCTCATTTATACTCATGGCTAGCCTGCTGGGGTTTCAGGTGTACGCCACCATGACAAGCCTATCATATGGTTACGGTTGGAAATCGGTTTGTGCACTGGAGAAAAGAAGGAAAACAATTACAGATTTCGAACTTCAGGGTAAGGTCTCCTTTTGCTAGGAAAGTAGGTGAACCAAGATGACATTCTCTTTTATAGAAAAGAGAATGTGCATCAAACTACAGGTAGGTTCCTTTTCAGGATTCTCAAATGGTGTGTGGGGTTCCTTGCAGTTAGACACACTTGGAGGAGGAGATGAGCTACTACTGTTCCATGCAAAACAGAGGTGCACACCGAGGGATAAGAGATAAGGAAAATGTCTATATGTCACCACAGGGAAAGTCTGGGCATTCTCTACTGTTTCTTTTCTTTTTCTTTTTCGTCAGTTTTAAAGGTATTATCTTGCTACAAAATTAGTTGCCATCTTTGGAAAGAACACTTTTAATGGCCATTGAGAATTATAAATATGGAGCTCATTACTGTATTCATAAATTTAGAATTCTAAAGTATTTATAGGTTTCTATTCGTAGAAACTATCAAGCAAATGTGTACACTTGAAAATTGAGCCAAGAAGAGAACTTGTGAAACCTGAACCACAAAGCATTCAGGAAAGCCTTTCTCAGTCTTTTAAGCTTCAAAAATGCCACCACAGAGAATATGTAAGTTGCAAGGCCTGTACACATCCTTTTCAGAGATATATCTAGTGTGAGAGTGAAATTAGGTGAAGTCAAATCCATATCTCAAAAGAAAAACAAGCACTCGTGAAAATTCCTTTGGTCTAATTTTGTGTGTGTGAGAAGCACTTCATATATATAAATACAAGTTTTAAATTGGAGTTATCTTCATCTTTTTATCTCCTTTGATAAGAAAAACTTAGAATTCAAACCTCTCACTACCAGATCATGCAATGTTCTTCATTATTATTTCCTATAAAGGAAATAGTCCTCATTTTTACTTCAAATATGAATTCCACATGTATGTTTGAGTAACGCAAAAATACCCTAGATCTAAACAGTTTTAATAAGTATAAAAATTTAATATTATGTAATTTAGAATTATCACTGTAATGATGATATATTGCAAGGTCATAAATTATTCATGGATTCTTTAATCAGCACATATTATCTTCAAATTAAGTTTTTTTCTAATATAAAAATCCCAACAAATTATGAAAGTAGTAACTATAACACCTAAATATGAAATTTTGAAATATTAAGAAAACTCTGTTATGCGTGTAGTTTACATGAGGAGATTTACGTTTAGTATTAGCATGATTCCGTGTTCTAATTATATGATAAAGTAAGTTAAGTTCTAGGTAATTGTTTAAAATTATCTCTATGTTATGGAAATGGTTGTGCATCTGTGTGTATTCAAGGCTACACCATGAGACCACAAGAGGGAGTAGCAGGCTCTGATGCTGGAGTTATACATGGCTGTGAGCTCTCTATGACAGTCTGGGAACTGACTTGGGGTCCAACGTAAGAGCAGTAGGTTAACCACTAAACCATCTCTCCAGCCTTAGTTGTAGATGCTTTATTATTAAAACAATATTATCTAAAGCATTAATGGAAACAGTTAAGTAAATGTTAGGATGAGATATATTTGTAATCTTACAAATGCTGCGGAACGGAACATACTCTACTACAGTGAAAGGTTGGTGCACAGAGTTTCTTTGGCAATAGTGTCTACCCTAAAACAGTTACATTGTTCCAATAGTACAGTGGCTTAGGGATGCAGCCACTTTTCTGTTCCAATAGGTCAGTCTGCTTGGCAGTAAGCTTGAGGGAACATTAACAAGATTCTGTATATCCCTTTTACCCATCATTACTTCTTCCTCAAACAGTAGATCTCAACAAAGAAAGACAGCCAAGAGGAGAGATATGGCTGTTTTATAAAATTAAGAACTGTTTTTGTTTTATTAAACATGAGTAAACTAATTTGTCTACAGCTTTAGGATGTATCTAACATTTCTTTGTAGTATGAGAGCATTTCCTGAAAATAATTTTACAATAAATTATTAAACTCCTATTCTGTTTTATTTTTATTTAAAATTTTATATACAATGTATTTTATCACATTCTTCCTCCTCCAAAAACTCCCATCAGATCCTTCCCATTTGATCTTGCACACGAAGCTGTAATCATGTTTAATCTCTATGTGTTGTTTTCAGTAAAGTTTTGGTTGTGCATGTCTGCATTGTGTATGCTACATATGTGTTCTCTGCATATAGGCGCATGGATATGTGTGTACCTTGTGTGTTCCAGAGGTTGAAAATGGGTGCCTTTCCATGTCGCTCTCTACTTCATAATCATCATCATCATCATCATCATTGTTTTGAGACAGGGTCTCTCACTGAATTGGGAGCCCACTGATTTGGCTGAACCTGGAGCTCACCATCTTTTTTAGAGAAGGTGATCAATGAGCTCTCAAGATCCCTATGTTACCCCATGCCAGGCTTTCCCCTGAGTTCTGTGAATGTGACCTCAGAAACTTGTGCAACAAGCACTTTTCTCACCAAGCCATCACCCCTGCACCTGCCAATAACTTTCTAATTATAACTTAATTTTTATTTAAAAATTCCCTCTAAAATAATTGTAGATAAAATATCAAGAATACACTTGAAATGCATGAGTAGTACATACACACACAAACATAAGATTTTATTATGCAGTTTTCACATTTCTAGTGAAAACCCTGTAAACATAAGCTGATTCAGTAATAACAGGCACAATTAAAGATTTATTGAGTTAAACAGGAGTTATATTTAGCAATGTTAATCAATATTAATACAATATTAAGGCATAGATGCAACATTTTTAAATGGAGGAAGACATTGTTGACTTTCTCTGTGTCTATGCTTATGTGTGTCTGTGTGTGTTGGAGCAGTGGGACACACGCCACGTTGCATGGGTGAAGCTGAGATCACATCCTCGTTTCTCTCTACCTTGCTTGAAGCCTTTTGTTGTCAGCAGCTGCAATTTGCACACCAGGCTAGCTGTCTTATGAGCTTCCATGAATTTGCCTGTTTCTTTGTCCTGTCTTACATGCTACAGAAGCCCTGGGAATGCAAATTATGCAAACCACCTCCAACACATATAGGTTCTGTGGATTTGATTGCAGGGTCTCACACTTGCATGACAAGGACTTTGCCCACAAAGACATTGCCCAAGGCTTCATTTTGACTTTTCAGTATTAGGTTCTTCTATAGTCCTTAGATTCTATAGGCAAATGAACTCCTGTCTGCAAGAAATTTCTTTTCATTTGCCTACATAAATGGCTCTAGTAAGATTTTAAAAACAGGACATAATAACTTTAGATAGAAAAAGTAGATTTGTGGATTGTAGAACATTCATTTTAAAAACTGTAAAACCTCGACTTTGTTCTGTTTTTTTGTTCATAACTTTTTCTGCGTTTTTGACCCTATTTTCCCCTTCTTAAAATAAAACTGCAAATCCAATTTCCATATAAGAACTTAGAGGTAGATATTATGTTGCTGTCTTAAAAGGCACTATGTGTATCTATAAGGGGCTTTTCTATAAAGCAAGTCAGCTAAGGCTGCTGAGAAAATTTAATTTCTTCTTTAATGATCATCTTACCTCTTTGCAGTAGGAAAATAGCGCGAGCATGATGACCCATCCCAGGCACAGTAGGGGTCCCGGGCAAGGCAGCATTCTGCACAGGCTTTGCCATAAATGTCACAGCGATGCAGAGGAAGCTGTGCGACCCCAGCAGTTGAACCAATGTACAGCTGTTGCTGTGAAAGAGTTAAGAAAACACACTATTCGATTCCCCTTCTTTTAAGAAAAAAAAAATCTAACTTATTTAGGCTTTCTCACAATAAATTATATTTAAGGATAAATACTGGTCTCCATAGTTTCTTTTAAAGTCTAGCAGATCATACAGTTTTATGTGAAGTAGAAACAAATTGTAAGCATCTGACAGCAACAGGGAAGAGAGAGACACATTCTTCTTTTACTAGAGCATTAATTAATGATATTGTAAGTAAAAGTTATATAAATGCAGTGCCAGAGGTCAGTTTATTGGGTAAAAGCAACTGCTGCTAAGCCTGATTTTCTGACGTAGATTCCAGGGACCACATGAAGGGAGATAGGAACTGACATGTGACCCTCACACCCATGTGTTGCACCGCTACAACCCCCATACATACAAAAATAAATAAAAAATGCAGTGACAGTTTTCAAAAAAGTTATGTCATTGATGAGACTTTTAATGATAATCCACAGGCAAAAGACTTCCGAACTGTATGTTAGTTTCCTAAGATGTAGATGAAACCTGAGTTTTACAGCAATTTCAACATTGCATTTTCAAGTATTTTCACTTATAGAATATGTATATATGTATATGCATATACACATGTGCTTGTATTCATGTGTGAATGTAGGTTAAAGTGTGTACTGAAATCTAAGAAATCATTAAGAAGCGTTTCTTACAGATAAAAACACTTAAAGCCAAGTGAAATACCTATGTTTTGATAAAAGAATAACAAGAGGTAACAGTGACAAATCTATATATTTGTACACATATTTTTCTTTTCAAATATTGATATTCCATGCATCAAAATAGAAAAATAAAATAATTATGTATGTTAATAGATGCTTAAGCTGTTTTGCTAATTTAACTTTAAAATTACACTGAATGAGGTTATGAACCAGCATAGTCATAGAAATTTTGTGAATTCCTTAGTAAGAGAAGCTTTTTCTTTTAAAAATGATGAACTTAGAAATCAATTGAACAACAGCAGCTTCAATGGGATTAACAAAACGAAGCAGGTGCAGAATAATTCAGCAAAAGTTACTTAGAGTTGTTGTAGCAATAACCAGACACATGGTTGACAACAATGTACATGGACAGGATTACCCTGACACTGACATCCTATTTTCTTTTGATAGTTTTGAGATCCTTTCCTTTAGCCCAGGGTAGCCATAAGCTCCTCGGTCTCTTGCCTCCACCTCCTGAGTGTTCAGATGTTGGGTGTTGCTGTTAGCCCTCACTTTGTGATCCTGTTTGTAAAGGTTACTGACCAAATTGGCCATTCTGTCAAAAGACCTCATGCTTGGCTATAATGTTTAAGAAGCATATGCCAAATTCATAATTATAGGGATGGGATGTTTGAGTAGGAAAAGAATTACCCAACAAAGAATCTACATCTGACTTTTAGGTAAAAAAAATGGGAAAAAATGTACAGGGAAGAGAAAAGCAAAAATAGTGTAGCCATCCAAGTGATTTACAGTCATGAAAACCTAAGTCCTAATAAACTGCTCCCAAATTAAATGCAATTCAATGTCATTTTGATTTTATCATAATTCTTCAGGATTACTAATGACACATAAAATAATCATGCTATCCACATGAAGCCCTGGGGCTTGCAGGCATCACTGAGCATAATCCAGTGACTAGCCAGGAATCTGATGTGCTCTTTCTGCCCAATTTAACATCACTGCAGGATATTTCACTAGCCTCCTCATGACATCGTGGGCTCACGAGCAGGGCGTGATTTCATTATCTAGAAGGTTAGTTATAGCACCTCTTATCCCTCTTGAAATACTGTCGCACTTTAAATATGCTACTAAGAGCGGGTGAAATTGAGTAATATTGAAGGAAATCCTTCTTCCCTCCATCAATGGCAAATGTAAGTCAGGGATTCTTTTCAAATGAACACTTTCTAGATGAATGTTGTATTAATAGACAATGCTTTAAAATATTTAAAAATCTTCTTTTTTCCCAACAGGATGTTTTGCTAAGTTAGACCTAGAGGTAATTCAATAAGGATTGGCTCTGAAGTCTAGCACAGAATAAATATAAATAAACACCTTTAAAATCATTACAGGAAATATTATCCCTGTCTAGCGTCTATCCTGGAAAGCCCCGGATTTCCTTGCCAACATGTGACAATTTTTAGATTTGAAGAACAGGTGAATACATGTTAATGAGGTGTAAGATAGCAGTCTCAGGTCAATATCATCTGAACTCTGAGCTTAAATATCTCGGAGATTATCAATCTATTTTGATACGTCTATGTGGAAAGGGCACACACTGTGTTTTGTTGGCACCATAATTTAGGGTTCTGTTCAAGAGGTGGATCCCTGTCAATGGCAAGACAGGCAAGTCAAACGATTCTTACATTCACAGTTTTATATATGTTTTTATAGCAATAAGGGACATGGTAGTTCATTTTCATTTTCATATCATGTTAGTTACTAATAGGCCAGTTCAGTGTATCAATTTATTTCCAAAATTATTACTCCTCTACTGGGTTAAAGAGCAGATAGTGATATAGAAAATGTAATTTTTAGAAGTCAAACTTTGTGCCATATCTGTATTTCAGTACTGAGAAATTAGTTGCTTTTCTTTTATGTCTTACCAACACATCCACTTGTTATAAATCAAAACACTAATCATTATCAACTCTGAAATGCTGAAGTGTTGGAGTTCTAGAATATACTACTTGGTGAGTTTGGTTGCATGTTTAACCAAAGTGAAAGCCACTTTTTCTTCTCTTATTACGATCATACTCCTGAAGGTAGGAGCTACTTGTTAAGGTCTTCCAAACGCAATAACCAACTTATGCTTACTTTCATCAGCCTACCAGGTGTATATTGCTTATACATGTAAAATTAAATAAAATGCAAATTTTTATTCTGAAATAATCTAACTATAAAATTTAAAATATGTGTATGTGCACTGTTACAGTATGAAAATAACCATTGAGGATTGAGTAAATCAGAATTTATAGAAATCAGAATTTAAAGATCATTATTATTACTGATCTGGGAAACACAGGCCCAGATAATAAAACTTTCATTCCATTAGCTTGTTATAATAACAATACTTCTTTGCTCTTCACTTCTTTTACTACCTATTTGTTAACCAATCTATAAAATACAGTGAATGTGAGTAAATCTATCAGGTTCAAATGCAAAAGACAGTGTTGACTATAGTGTATTACGTTAGTACCTGTTTAGTAGAGAGCTCCATTGCTGAAATTGTTGTTGGTTCCTAAAAAAGAAACGAAAGAAGCCTTTCATAAACGAGAACAGTTAATGACTGATTGATTAACACACAAGTTCTCTGAGAAAGATTTCACTGCCAAAACAAATAGTATAACTGGAAATAAGATCTATAAAAGAAGCTGAAGAGAGATGTGCTAAATAAGTGAGACAAAGAATAAGGGCACTCCAGCATCATCCAGATAAAAGCCCTTGGGGATCCTGCCCGTGCTTGGGCAAGCAGTGTTTGTTGCCTACTAATGGGCCTAGAGAGAACTTCTCAGTTGGTCTATACTAAGTCAAGGAAAAGTAACTTCTCTACATTTCCCTCTTTCTTCACCTATTTCTTTGACTTCATTATACTCTCTTCTCCCTTCTCTTTGCATGTAAGACCAAAACGGGCATCACATCTTTTCCTTGGTGCTGTAGATGCAAACTGAACGTCCCAACCCAACTGCCATCAGTTCAATCCACCACGCTGGCCTCTCCATCCGGTCCTTCCTCTATCTGCTCCTTCATCTTCAGAAGCAGAACTCACCAATGCCATTCCATTATGCCGCCTCAGACCCCTTTGCCAGTTATTTGCTTTTAGCCTTCCTACGTCTTCTTTGTAGCTCCCTGATAGTCCTGACGGCCTTACCTTTCCTGGCCTGCCTATTCTTCCCACTCTGCCTTCCTCTCAGTGAGCTGTGGCACTCTGGTGCTGCCCACCTCAGAGGCACAGACATGAACTACTTCACTTCAAATCTGATGGCAAAACTGAACACATGATTTTCTTAATAACTTCTCTAAAACCTACCTGGCACACAAGTGAAGCAAATGATTAAGAAGGTATGTTAACTTAATGGGGTAATTTAGAGATTTCTAATACTTTTCTACTTTATAGCTTAAATGAGTGATAGTAATTATTAAACATAATAATGATTTCTCAAGGAATTATCAATCACAAAGACTACTGTGATGAAAATATTGTCAGCCCACTGTATCTACATAGAAATGGTATATTTACTATTTAATAGTATCAAGTCACAAATATAAAATTTATATCTCATAAGAAACATTTCAGTTTAAAGTGATTTTTTTTTGTTTCTACAATATTGAAATACATTAACTAAAACAGAACTTAAATGTGTTAGAAATTTCCATGGCAACTTTCCCAGCTTTGACCATTTCACATAAGAATTTCTCATGTGCCTAAAGAAATAACTAACTTCATGTGGGTTTGTATCAAAGAAACTATACAGTCAAGGTTCAAGGAACATAAAAGTTAATACTCCACTGCAATAAAATATGAGGTCTACATTTTTTGAAAATATAGTTGATTAAAATTTTATTTCATGTTCACTAAGAGTACAAAAGCAAAAACATCTATAAAGTAGACAGAAATGTGTTATCTCATATGTAAATTGTAAAGCATGATACAAACTCAAACAGACTACACAGGGTCATATTATGATGTCAACATTCAAGATTAAGATCATATTATTTTTTAATTAATGTAAATTTATTTATTACTTATATCAGGAAATTAATAGCAGTTTAGAGTATGTACTGCCTGTAACTGAATTTTAATGAACAACACATTACAGTGACATCCATTTAAATAAGCTGTATGTTTTCTGAGAGATAACAAAATGACTTCCATTTAAAATAGATGTCACTTCATAGGCATTTTTTTCTATGAAATTGGTTTCAATTGCAAAAGTAATTGGTGTTCAAGTTAAAAAAAAATTAAAGCTTAGTATCTTTTTACGATTTTTTATGCCTCCAATTTACTACACCTCTTCCAGATATTTTAATTCAGTCATTATTAAACTTTGGCTTTTCAACCTGCTGATCCCAGGAGATCCTGATACAGCTCACTTGATGCTCAGCAGTCGAAGGGATGTTCCTTTAGAAGAAGTTAAGAGATTGGTGTTTGGAAAGCATCAGTTATATTTTACATTTGAATGAAAATTAAACTCTTTCATTTGTCTGCTCAGATGTTCATGGAATATTGTATAAATTAGGTTTAAGATTCAAGTGTTATTGATGTAACTGCCTTGAAATCCTTTGCAGTCAATAGAGCCCTTTATCTCCTAGGCACCTTGGCTTGGTTAACACTTTTACTCAAAAGGAAAGCCCATTGGAAGGACTGGAGAGAAAAAACCCTTACTTTCCAGTTAAGGTGAAAAATTGCTATGTGTCTGGTTTTTTATATCTTCTTAACTTAAAAAACAAAAAGACAATTCAGAAGGGCAAATGAGATAGACATCAGAAGTGGGAGAAAACAGGGAACAGAACAGGAGCCTTCCACAGAGGGCCTCTGAAAGACTCTGCTGATCAAGGTATCAAAGAAGAGGCTTAGACTCATAGGCAAACTTTGGGCAGAGTGCTGGGAATCTTTTAGAAGAAGGGGAAGATAGAAAGACCTGGAGGGGAAAGGAGCATCACAAGAAGACCAACAGAAACAAAATATCTAGGCCCGAATTCTTTGCAGAGACTGATACTCCAACCAAGGACCATGCATGGAGATAACCTAGAACCCCTGCTCAGATGTAGCACATAGGCAGCTTAGACTCCATGTGGGTTCCCTAGTAGAACAGGGACCGTCTCTGACATGAACTCATTGTGATCACCTTGGGGGGTGCAGCCTTGCCAGTCCTGAAGAGACCAGATAGGCTAGGGTCAAATAGAAGAGGAGAGAGACTTCCCCTTTCAGTGGATATGGGAGGAGCATAGGGGGAGAAGAGGGAAAGAAGGTGGGACTAGATAGAGATGAGGGAGGGGGGATACAGCCAGGATACAAAGTAAATAAATAATGAATTTAAAAGAAAAAAGAAAAAGACAACAATACGGAAGCCCTTTTCTTTTTTACTTTAAATTCATTATTTATGACAATAACAATATGAAAGCCCACCTTGCAGCCAGTCCTGAAGATACCTGATAAAACAGAGTCAGATGAAAGGGGAGGAGGTTCTCTCCAATCAGTGAACTTGGAAAGGGGCAGGGAGGAGAAAAGAGAGGGAGGGTTTGTGAGGGAATGAGGGAGTGAGATACAGCTGGGATACAGAGTTAATAAAATGTAACTAATAAAAAATAAACAATAATAATTAAAAAAAAACAACAATATGGAAGCCCAGCATCCTAGAGCAGATTTTTATGTGTATAATTTTATTATAAAAGGGGATTTTTAAGACTTCATGATTGCAACCTTCATTATCATAAATTGATGTTCCATTAACTAACCAGCTCACTCAGAATCACGTAGTAAATATTTTCAAATTCAGACTATTTCTGGCAAATCACATTTAGATCCAGGCTGTATGTTACTGCTACAAAGCTATTGTGAATATGTACTAGCAAGTCTCTTAATTTCTTTCTCTGACAGCAGTGCCAATTTTACTTCACCTTTTATTGTCTATTAAGATTTTTATTCCAAATTTGGAACTTTGTTGCCAAAAATATTTTTCTTTCTATACAGTGATTGGGACATGATTTGACCCAGAATAAAAGAATCTTGTAACCAAAACCACTGGAATGTTCTGTGATTAGGTGGGGTGTTTTCTTAAAACCAATTTCAAGATGGCCAGGAGTATGTATTGGTTTTATTCCAAGAATTTATGAGTTATTCAATCTCAAAGAGATTCATAAGAATATGGTCTCACAGAGGTGGTAATTCGAGTAAAGTAACTTAACATTAAATGTGTTTAAAAATTATAAAAAATATATCTGCCTGCATCCTGACCTTAAATCTTTATCTTGTGTATTTATCCTATCAAGCTATTGTACGACTCAGTTGGTCTTTTTAACTGTATTTTATTTTAAATGGAATGACACATTTAAAGTGTCAGATGGAAACAGAGACGGTGACATTTTCCTGCTTTTCACTGTATGTGGCAATTGCTTTAATGTGTTGTGGTTTTTCCTTTTCTGTCCACCACTGAAAAATTAAACAAAGCTTGACAGTGAAATATTCCAATTGCTAGGCCGCAATATACGTATGAACTTTGGCTGATAGAACAGAATGCTGAAAGTAAATATTTCTGTAAACTCTGCCCAAAGATGTTTTGTCTGCTTGAGTGCCAAAGAAATAATCGTGACAATATGCACAGCAGGAAGCAGGGAGCTTCTACGGAAGGAGGATTTCCAAATGCAGCCATTTCTAACTCGATTTAGATATCTAAACAGTTTCTTCCTCTATAGTACAATGTTAATCATTCATAATTGTTAGAGACTGCTAAAGATTTTTCTCAGTGTAGCATAAGTGCCATAGAAGTGTGTTCTATTTGTCACCATAGGTGTAAGTTTGAAATGTATTTCTTTGAAAGTCCCCAAGTCAGAACAAAGTATAATTGAAATTAAATATCTCTATTGGCAACTCTGTAGGCTCTCATCATGCTTTTGCTAAAAGCCATTTTTGCTTAAATTAAGTTTCCCTTTAGGTTGTAATTTTTAGTAATGTATCAAGGAATACAGGTAAGATGTGAAATACAAAGCTCAGATTACAGAAGCATTAAAAAAGGAAATTTAGCTACAATATAGAATTACTACCAAGATGTGCATGACTTATTTAAATAACAAAACACAGACAATAATGAAAAGATAAAAATATATTTTTTACAGATTACATAATGCGACTGAAATAATTCTATACAATAAAAAGTAAGTCCACTGACTGATAACAGAAAGTCATTCTTTGAAACTAAGTGTATAAAACCCAGAAGACCCTTTCCTTTGCATGAGGTCAGGGACTGAGTTTAGAGTAGTCATTAGGTGTCTCTGTCTCCTTTCTCTCTCACTCACTTTCTCTCTCTCTCTCTCTCTCTCTCTCTCTCTCTCTCTCTCTCACACACACACACACACACACACACACACACACACACACACACACTTGAACTTTTATAAAAACCTGAATGTATGAAAGGTGTTGGAAAGCATGTCTGTCTCTTTGATCACCTCCCCCTAGGGGAAGGGGTGTAGCCTTGCCAGTCCACAGAGGAAGATGATGCAGCCAGTCCTGATGAGACCTGATAGGACAGGGGGAGGAGATAGGACCAGATAGAAGGGGAGGAGGACCTCCCCTATCAGAGGACTAAGGAAAGGGATTAGGGAATACAGAGGGTGGGTGGGACTGAAAGGAGATAAAGGAGGGGGCTGCAGCGGGGATACAAAGTGAATGAATTTATATATATATATATATATATATATATATATATATATATATATAATTAAAAAGGAATTATGAGTTACACAGTTATCTGTGAATCATTAGGTGTTTATAAGGATGTTGTGCTAGTGTCTTCTTTCCTGACTTTATTTGCAAAAGACTGGTTATTTTAAAATGAAGGGCTTTTTTTTTGTTTTTAACCTTTCTGTTAGGGAAGAACATAAAATCAGATCACCGGAACTATATGGTGCTGTTTCTAATTCACTGTCCTCATATTCTCCAATCTTACTTAAAGACTGGATTGCCTGAAGAAGGTTTTTACTTTATCATATTTATGATATTTCATTTTTGTATCAATATTGTTTCATTCATTTGATAAATGTTGACTGATTTTATATATTAGGCTTACAGATATAACAATGAATATCAGTCAGCCATTTATAAATTTAGCCTTCATTGCCCATAATTTGTTTGATAATTTAAATGGACTCTATAGTGGATGACAGCCCATTTGGATAATTATAGTTTTCTGTTTATAGGTTAAGGTTCCAGAGTGTTTGCCTTTTTTAAAGTAACTCACTTGGCATAATGAATGGCAAGAACCAGTCCACACTCTATACGCAACACTTAAAAAGGGCCAAAGAAATCAATTTTAAAATTGGATCTGTGATTTCACTATTTTGAACATTTAAATTGAGGATATGCAGAGCGTATAGAAGGAAGTCAGCTCATTTTCAGTTTGGACAACTAAAAACCATAAAGTAATAAATATTAATGACATTTCAGCTGAGCCCTGTGGCACATGCTTTAATCCCAGTACTCAGGCAGTGGGGGAGGTGGGATCAGAGGTCCAAAATTGTCCTCATCTGCATGGTGAGTTCAAGGCTAGCCTGGCATCAAGAGACCCTGTCCACAATACAAAACAGAGCCAAGTGCAATTCCACCAGAAAGCCTGAGAGTGTTGGGGACACAGTGTTAGCACTCTCTTAGTGCTTTAAGCAGGAATCTTAAATTATACTCACTATCTTGCAAATGAGAGGTTTAGAGGGATTGTTTCAGTAAAGCAAGAATTTTCATGCTATTAACTAGGGAGCCGAAGCTCTCGAACAGAAGTTTATTCAGTTGTTATTATAAAAGATCTATGCCACAAAGTCCCAGGTTTATGTCTGAATGACAATTCTATTTCTAATTGAATTTTTACTTCATTTTACTGCTGTTTCTACTTCATTTTCTCTCCAAAGACCACCGAAAAGTGATCCCAAATCTATGAGGCAAAGGTATCTGTATATAAACAGCATGCTAAAAGAAACAAAGGAATGGGGGGCATTTTTTTCACCATTAAATGTTGCGTCTGCAGAAAATTATAATAGAGCTCCTTCATTTTTATAAAACAAACAAACAAAAAACCAAAACCTATGTGAGACATCTGGAGCCCAAACAATACTTCTTGAAGTTGTGAGACTATAAACATTTTTTTCTCCCTTTTTTATTTCTTGGTATTCAAGTTTATTGTGTATTTATAAATTTATCAATAAGTAGCCATGATATTATTTTATCAAAAATTTTAAATAAATATAGGAATATCATTTTTTTCTTATATATAAAACTCATATCAAAGTGTGACGTGTCTTCAAACCCTTCCAGGTAACAAGTACTATAAAATACATAACCTGTACAATACTTGTGTTGATCTATTTCCTATGACCCCTGTTGTATCAACCCAGCATGTCCAATACTTGAAGACACTATGAGACTCTTGGTGACTCCAGAAAAAGGAACAAATATTTGTTCATTTTTCAAGCGTGCAGAATAGGCCTCTATAGCAAATTATCTGTCTTACTTAGTCACTCAAACTTAGCCACTAGTATACTTAGAAATTATTATAAAATAATGTGTGAATTAGCTCAGATATCTTTCTTCCTTTGGCATGCTGACTTTATCTCCCTGAAAGCACCCAGCACTTACTTATCACGCCAGATACGCTAAAAGTTATGAGAGAAGAGATTTTGAATGGAAAAAGATTTGAGCTTCAAGGTAACATGCAAATAAGACAAAATGTAAACCATTTATTTTATCGTTTAAAAAATAAAATATGCGCCAAGAATTTTAACTGCAATGACACTTTCAAGGTTTATTTTGACTGCTGTCTGGCTTTCTGCTTGACAAGCTAATTGGAAGGGTCCATGTGAGCACTGCCCCCACTGTCCTCAGTGTGTAGTGGTCCTGGGAGACGGATATGCGGCTGAACTGAGGATGATTGAAATTAAGCAGCACTCACCCTGAAGACTGTCATTTCTTCCAGAAGAACCTCTTCTAAATCATGCCACGTCTCCTTGGGGACGGAAACCACTTTAAGAACAGTTCCAACATCTTCAAAAGAAAGCAGAGCGGAAGGACGTAAGGTTACAACTTAAGTAGATTGGAACAGGATTTACTTCTAATGGGACAATAAAGAGTTTTGCAAAAAAGTTGGGTTTTGTTTATCTGTTTCTGCTTTTCTTTCTTTCTTTCTTTCTTTCTTTCTTTTCTTTTTTTTTCTCTCATGGAACGGAGTGTATGTGCATGCCACAGCACATGCCTGGGGCTCAGAGCGAAGCTCCTAGAAGTCAGTGCCTGTGTCCTACTTTGTTAGAGGCCTGTCTCTTTCACTGCAATGCCTCACTTCCTCCTCCAGATTTCCAACCTTCTGGGTCTGCACCTTCCATCTCCCTATAAAAATGCCAAGATGTTTTTTCACACTTTTAGGTGCCTTTCGGAGGTCCGAAATCAAGTTCTCAACTCAAGCATGGCAAGAACTTTCACATACCGAGCCCTGCCCCAGGCCTACCAGAAGCGTCGCTGGCTATCCTGACTTTATGTTTCTTTCCCATGTAGATACACTTGTAAATTTCTACATAAAACTGCATTTTACGCAACTAGTCTACAAACTGTACCGATAGCCTCGGAACATTAAAAAAAAAAAAAACTAGAATTGCATCAGAATTTTAAAAGATTTTAACCTGAAATCGTACCCATTTTCAAAAATATAATAAACACAACTAAAGCGGTTAAGTTGGATTACTTTTTACTTTTAAATTTTCTTTAAGTGTCATGCACTCCAGGGTAGAGAAAAAAAAAAAAAAAAACTAAAAGAAAAAGAAAATGCCAATCTGCCATGACAGACTTTTCCACTTCCATTCAGACAGAAGCATATGTCCTTGGAGACTCCAGTCATGAGATATAAGAGGGGCTACCCAACCCCAGGGACAATAGCCTCAGTGTCCAGCAGGCCACCCTCTCCTACAAAAGCTGCAGCATGGAGAGGCCCTTAAGGCAGGCTTGGTGATACTGAAGTGATGAATGACAGCCTGATTTCTCAAAATAAACAGTTAGGATTACTTACCACAATAGTTTGTCTACAATACAAACAGTGGGTAATCAATTTAAAATCTTAAGGAAATTTAAAGTTAGGTCTGGAAATTATTTTTTAAAAATTGAATATATTTTATAGATACTATTACTATTTAATTTTCATTATCAGGAAAAAGTGATTAATAAAATGACCTGTCATTTTCACTTCATGTTCCATTTATGTATTGTTAATTTTCCTGTGTTACTGGTGTGATTTCATTCTTTGTAAGAGTGCAAACAGGGTCTTTTTTTGGATAAGATGTTGGCTCTACGCATCAGACTCTGCAGTACCTGCCTCCTCTCTTCCTCCTCCGCTAACCTAGAACCCCTGGTCAGATGTACTCCATAGATAGCTCAGTCTCCATGTGGATTCTCTGGTAAGAGGAGCAGGGGCAGTCTCTGACATGAACTCCTTGTCTGCTCTCTGATCACTTTGCCCTGGTTGGGAGCTCACAGAGGGAGAAGATTCAGGCAGTCCTGATGAGACCTGATGAACTAGGATCAGATAGTAGGGGAGGAGGACCTTCCCTATCAGTGAAGTGGAGTAGGTTAGGGGTATGGGAGCTGGAAGAGGGAGGGACAGGCAGGAGATGAAGGAGGGTGACTACTACCTGGATATAAAGTGAATAAATTGTTAAAAAAAAAAAAAAGGTTGGTTCTAAACAATGTTAGTTTTTAGTAAACTTGATCAATACTTTCAGCTTCATTTGGTTCATTTTAACGAATTTTATCTTTTCCCAAATAAATTCTTACCAATAAGTACTGCTGTACTAGAAACATAAACTAATACATTCATTCCATTGGCAACTTTCCTCTGTGAATTGTAACAGTGTATTCTGTGTGATCAACGCTATCCCTTTTAAAGTTTAAAAAAAGTCCACTTTTAAGAGGATCCTTCTGTGTTTACAGGACCTTAACCTACTCATAACACCAAAGATTAAAGGGAAATAAGGTTAATCTACTTAGTGCCTCCACAGGGTCTCCTGGACTCAAACACAACTTTATCTGTGTTCCAGATCAAGTTTTACCGAATAGTATTTCAAACAATTTCACACAAATTGAATCAGATTACTCAACAAGGATCAATGTGCTATGAAGTGAGACTTAGTTAGGAGATAAAATTACTGTAATCAATTTCCTTGCTGACAGATGACCCTGGTGTCTACAGCCCTACAATCATCCACATCACACAACATTCAACATCCTCATGAAGATGGAGATCTTTAGCTTGTGTCCTAGAGGAATTAAATGTCCTAGAGGAATTAATTCCTAGAGGAATTAAATGATTTTCTTCGGTCAAACACCCGGAAGCAGGCTTTGTTGCTTTGAGAGTGAACTTGTTGCTTTGAATATGAAACTTCAGAACAAGTTTTTAAGCTAGAAATGGAGAACAAGACCAGTATGACATTACTGAACAAACCCAATTATTCTTCAGAGATTTCGTTGTAATTTACATCAAAAGATAAGCTAATATGTAGTGAAAAGAAATACTCTCTTATATTTCTTGATTATATCTGTAACCTGTAGGTGCTACTCACAGTTTCTGACTTTCGTGAAACATCAAATCTCATTAAGATGCTTTTATTTAGTAGAAAATTTTTCTTATCCATAAAACTAGACTTTCATGGACTGCTGAGAACCTGACGGGTAAACCTGATAACATCGCTATTTCGCAATTAAGTTATGAAACTTTGACTCTTTACAGTAATTTTATTTTTTGCTATTCTGCTATAGTCAATGTAATTTTCCTTCTGTTTCTTACCAAAATATCTGTGATTATTTATTATCCGTGCAGCACTCATTTTTTTTTCCTGTTGATTTATGTCAGTTAGTGAAGTTAATGAAGACAAGGAATTTATTACCTTGGAATCTGATGCTAAGTAGCAAGTTTCAGATACTTACTTTCCTAAATAGCATCACCATTTAGAAAGTATGGGGAAACAAATTAACATATCAGAGTAATATTAAGGTTGATTCTGAAAATGTACCTGAAAATTATTTCTAAAAAATGAACATATCATTACATTTCTAAAGAAAGGTATCTTGATGAATATTGAGTCAGTTTTCTGATAAATACTTTTCCAATTTTATTCGAATGACAAAAGCAATGCTCAAAGTACTTTGGTAAGCTTTATGTGATTGAAGAGTTTCACTAGCAGTAATGTTAAGTTTCATATTCTTGGATATGGACTGACTATACTGCAAATTTCAGTCATGATTTATACAATAGTGTATGTGTGTATATCCCTAACCAGAATAATTATGATAATTTATTATTTAGCTATTAAATTTACTTGATTATATCAACCGAGTTTCACTAAAAAGGAAATTTACTGTTATTATTATTATTAAATTGTTATGTTCCTGAGTCATCTTTAGTCTATAACTATCCTTTTATTCACGGAAGTGATGTTTTTGAAAATTGTAGCGCAGTATTTTTGTAGAATGATTATGGTTTTATATTTGTCTCATATCTTCTTGTTTATTTATATTCTCTCATGCATTACATTTCAATCTCAGTTTGCCTTCCCTCCACTCCTTCTAGACTTTCCCCACCTCCAATATCTCTGAGATCGACTCCTCCTCCATTTCCCTTCAAAAAAAGAGCAGACTTCCCAGGGATATCAACCAAACACAGAATAGCAAGTTACAATAAAACTAGGCACATACCCTCATGTCAAGGACAGATGGAGCAACCCAGTAGGAGGAAAAAGTTTCCAACAGCAGACAATACCTATTCCCATTGTTAGGTGTCCCACAATAACAGCAAGCTACACAACTGTAACTTATATGCAGAAGACCTAGTTTAGAGCCATAGGTTCCCCAATTGTTACTTCAGTCTCTGTGGGCTCCTGTGAACCCATCTTAGTTGATTTTGTGGGCCATGTTTTAGTGGTGTCCTCCACCCCTCTGGTACCTACAGTGTCTCCTCCCCCTCTTCTGCAAGATTCTTTAAGCTCTGATTCATGTTCAGCTATGGGTCTCTGCATCTCCTTTCAGTTGTTGAATGAAGCCTCTCTGGTGCAATTATGCTAAGAAGAAAATCGATTTTAAACAAATTACCTGCAAAATGATAACATACTTATAATGGTAGGCTCTTCTGGTACCTTGAAAATGAATGTAGAACTTGCCCTTGGTTCTCTGTATACCTAGATAAACACTGTGTTCTGGAAGAAAACATACGGTTGAAATACGAAAGTGTACCTGTCCCGATGAACATGACGTCATACTGGCCATCTTCTGCATCCACTCGGTCTACGACTATTTGTGTGAACTGATAATTAACATCTGTTTTGATCATTATTGGGCGGTTATTAATGGGGAACACTGGGTTGTACATGGCTGGATGACTTCTTGCAAAGGTTATGACGTCATCAGGAAGGTCCTTGGTGGAGTCGAATCCACCAAATGTTTTACTGGGACACTATTAGGAAAAAAAAGAGAATATCGTTTAAGTAAAATATAATGAATAGGATTCTAAATTATAAAATAACACTTCAATATTCCATGATTTTAAACCTCTCATTATTTCCTAAGTAAATGTTAGCTATTTCCAGCTCTTATATACGTAAATTAGTAGATAAGTATATTTTTAAAATAAATATTAATTCTCAATGTTAATGAATGTTTAGCTGCATTGTTATTTCTCACAAAACCTGTCAAATGATTTGAGATATTTAGTGTTCAGGAGAAATCTGATGCCTCTCTTAACTGCACCAGCCTGGGCTTCATTTCTATAATAAACATTTAACATAATGGATGAAATATGCTACAAATAAATGCCACTAAGGATGTTTAGAGCAACAATATGTTTCTGAGTTATATATAACTGCTTTTAGTTTAGAATCATACCCAAATATAAATGCCACACTAAAGAACAATATAATCTATTCTTTGTTATCTGACTTACGACATAAGCCTGAAAACATATTATTAACAACTTTAATAAAATTAAATAATTCAGACGTTTCATTTAGTGTCTACCAGTGTATGGCACAGAAACTAACCAGTCAGAATGGAGACAGTCTGACTAAGATAAATACATATTGGTACAAGAAGCAGGAAAGAATGCACTGCTGTGAGCTGACTGTATGACAGCTCTGGATAGAAATATTCTTCTTGTAAGTCAGTCAATAGACTTGAGAAAGTGTCTCCTCACTGTGATTCATTATGTAGAGCAGCATTGAAGAGTACAGTATGCCTAGTCTTATGTATCTTGTTCTGCAGTTCAGTAATGCTTAACATTTAATGCAAGTGCTTTAGAGATAAAATGCAATCATGAGATGATCCTTATCTTACAAGATTAGAAAAAGAAATCAGCCTCTTGACAGTTATAAACAAATTCATTAATAATTCATGAGGGATTAAATAATGCTTTCAAATGAGAGTACCATATATGTATATATATTTGATCTGCACATGAATTAGATATGATAATAAAACGGTAAACTTTTAGTTTTCATATAAATTAGAGATTTAAACAATGTTATATAGATATCAACTATCCACATAAAATGTATAAAAAAACGATAGAGAACTTTAAAGGATTTTAAGATTATTTATGGAGCTAGAAAGATTGCATGGCTTCTTCCAGAAGACTTGGATATGATTCCCAGTACCCACAAGATGGTTCCCATCCATCTGTAAACCCAGTCCCAGGGTATTAAACACCTTTCCTGGACTCCTCAGGAACTGTACATAGTGTATATAGACAATGCAGGCAAAACAGAAAATAAAGAATAAGTTAAAAAACAGAATATCTGTGTTCTCCTTTACATCATGGACAACACCAGGCACAAATTTAAAAATGTGGGAATTAAAAAAAATAGTAAATGGTTATTTTGGTTTTTCTACAACTTCTTATTCTACTGTCTGTTTTAAAACATAATATATGCTTGCTGATAGGATTTTCATTAAATTTTGACAATAGCATATTGTTTAAACATTGTACCTATGACCATCCCTCAATAGTGCTGTTAAATGAGAGAGTCTCAGCTGTCACCTTTAATAAATTCAGTGCACCCTCTACCACTTTTACATTAGGCAATATTGCCACTAACACTTTGAGCCAGGGTGCATGCTGATGCAGTTTCTCACAATTCTCTGTGAGCAGTGAGTTATTGCTAAGCTGTGGAACTGAATAAAGGCACCATTACTTAAATGGGAAATGGGAAAAATAATTGGCTATTGATGCCTATACCATTTGTGTGTATGTGAGTGCTTGTGTGTGCATATCTATGGGGTTCAATACGCCGCATGGAACAAATCCCAGAATATAGTAATTTCCACTTTTTAATTGCTATTATTGATTTCACATATAATTTATATTTATATTAAAAGGTATTTTCATCATAGTATTTAAGATATGGAATCCTATAAGCCATAGGAATATAAAACTGTCTACTAAGAAAAAGAGGACAATTTGTTATTAATAGCTGGAGTAAATAACTGGTGTTTTTATAAATCTCATTTGCTTTCTCATAAGCAAAATATTACATCTAGTCATTTGTTATTATCAAATCCTACCAAAGTTTTTCTTACAGCATTATCAGCTCAGGGCATTTTTTTAATACAAGACAAGATTTTTAATTTTCTCATAAATAATTTTAGAAATACAGAGAAAAGGAGAATACTAAATGTTCTGTATCTAATAAAGTCATAAATACATACTTTAATTGAATTCATCAGACAATTAAAACACTGACATGAAATTACAGCCATAGTCGAATTTTTCCATTGTGTAAAATTATTGTCTAGAAGGTTTCTTTTGATTTGAAAAAGTTACTTCTAGATTGGCTTGACAAGAACAGGCTTGGGTCAGGAGCTACGTGAACATATACCACACAGGTATAGTGATGATGTGTTCACTAAAACCTTGAGGGGCCCTAGGCTCTGGCACAAGCTATTGTAATTACTCATTCAGAACATGAGGCAGGAACACAAGCCTTAGCAATTTAGTGAAACCGGTAGGAGAGGTGGGGGCCACTAGCAAGTTAGGTCAGTAGAACACTTGCAAAGCTCTGTGGTGCCTGAGATTGCTAGGGGAAAGTTAACTGATCAGTCCTTAATTATACCTTAAAAAAAGCGAACACAAAAACAAAAAGACCAAGTAAAAGAGTTCTCAGTGTTTGAATAAACTGAGGGTTGTGACAGCCGAAAGCGCACACTTAATTGCACAGTTCAAAATCGTGAAGAGATGGCGGAGCCACTAAGCCTCAAAAAGACACAAGAGAAAAGTTCCAGACTCAGCTTCATCTTGCAACCAGACTTAGCTCAGCATTATCAGAGAGCCTGTCAGTCGTGGTTTGGCTCAGCCAGACTGACTGATGCATGTGTCTGTGAGGCATTGTCTTGACTGATAACTGCTGTAGGAGGGGCCAGCTCAGTGTGGGCGGTGCCCTTATGGGCAAACACTCCTGCATGGTCGAAGTAAGCTACTTTAGCCGGAGCTGGAGTGCTGGCCATGGAGCAGCTTTCTTTCAGGTTTCCTGCTTCAAGCCCGCACCTTTTCTTCCCTAAAAGATGGACTATAATGTGCCATGTGAAATAGACCTTTTCTCTGCTTCCAACCCCCTGAAAATTGTTACTTCTGAGTTGGTCCTTTGGCTATCTACACTGGGCTATCTACATATCAATGTGTTTCTTGTTTCCAAAATTAATATTTGGTCCATGACTTTTTAATTTCATTTGACGCGGGTTCATTAGGATGATAACGTTGCAGGTTCATTCCAAAGTCATGGGGTGATAATGTTGGTGTTAATACTGTTTCTCTGAGCACAGCCTACCAGATAATCAGAATAGGCGGTATTCCCACCACCAGAGACAGCCCAGACAACCTCCTGTTAGTTTCAGTGTTCCATAAAGACCATCTCCTTAGTCTTCTGCTCAGAAAAAATAAAAGTGCATAGGCTGCTTATTAAGATTTTTTTTAAAAAATGGGGTGGACATCAAATGGTAAGCAAAGAATTTAATTACTGGCATGTGTAATGAACATGGCTTTCCATGTGGGATTATAGGGAACCACATAGAATACTAGTCTTGCTTTTATTAAACTTGCAGACTTTTTCTTCTATACTCTGCTAATGCTTACAACAGCAATTACTTGTTCACTTTGTCAAAAACATATCTGTTCCATGTGTTACAATCAAAGCTACTTACAGTTCCCGGCCGTGGGTAGGGAACTCTTCCTTGATAAGGTACCCACTGATAGTTGGGACCGTCTCTGTGAGCATATGGACCAAGGAACACCCTTCTTACATCGCTCATGCTGTACATACACACAGCAGATCCCTTGAATATGTTGCTGGAAGGAAAGAGAGTAAAAACTGGTTTTTATCATTAGTCGATGGTGATTGGATGGCTCATACTTACTTATTGTTCCTCAGATATTAAAATCTAACGTAAATTCTTTGTGATCACAAGCATCATTTGGTATTAGTTTGATCTCATTGACATATTTCATCAGTGTATAAAGTAACAGGTGATAATTTGTCTATAGTCTGTGAAATCATATTTGGTATTGATTGAATATATACATCTCTATAAAATATAAACTATTATAGCTGAACAGGAAAGATACATATAGATGATTTCCTCTGAATGAATATTTGATTTTGATGTCATAAAGGAATAAAAACTAAACACTCTGTTTAACCCTCAAGAATCATTACTAAAGAAAGAAAATTATCCGAGTATGAAGAATATTTAAGAAGTCATCTTAAAAGCTAAAATCATTGCTTTAAAGGAGCGTATAATGGCACATGGCATGGCACATTATAATATTTTAAACTCGCAAACCAACAGGGTATGAGCTCAAGTAAAGGTGTTGAATATCTGAAATCAGTGAGGGATTAAGCATTATCTATGTACAACGCTGAGCACAGTTCTAAGATAGTAGCTGTTACACAACAGTCAAAGCAGAGATTTATGGCAATTACTCCTATTGCTCTGTGAATCAAAACCAGGCACTGAGATGAAGTGATTTTCCCTTTATTTTGTTTACTAAACACATATTATGTAATGTATTATATAAAAACAAAACAGCTGTACATTTTCAATATGAAATTTTCATCTTGAGGCTGATAGCTCCCCGTGGAAAATTAGCTATAAGTCTTATTGAAATCACAGGAAACCCTGCTACACAAGAGCTATGTCTTCTGAAGTTATAAGAACTGCTCATTAGACAATGATGCATCATGGAGGCTGATGTTTATTGTTCTCTGTCAACCATTTATCACACATACTCGACTCAGTTGTAACCTCTATGTGCGTGCATAACATCTAATATTTTCATGACAGGGTCCTAAGAAGCTAACACACATCTGATACACCTCTTTTCAGTGCAGGTTTGTTACACGTCCCCATTTTTATTGTGACATAATTGGTTATCTACTAATGAATCATATAGCTGTGAGGTTTGATGCATACAATTTAGAAACATTCACCACCAGTAACTTGAAACCCTTTTAAACTGTGGCCGTCTAAACGCTGATCCCTGAAGACTAGCATGGGAATTACCTATGAACTGGCTGGAAATGAAGACTCTTTAGGCCCAAATCATTTTTATAGGGTCAGAAACTCTAGTCAAGATAAGCAATATGAACTTCTGATCATTTATGTTTTACAGTTAAAATTTGTACGTGTGATTTGTAGAACAGAGAAATTAAATTTTAACACATTCTTGCTGATCCTCACATACACATAGCTTGAGAAAAGTTTGTTTCTCTGGGAAGTGTGAAAACAGAAACCGACACTTGCCACTCATTACCTACAATCTTTACTGCAGTTGCCTAGTTTAACACTAAAGTTCATTAATACACAGGCAGAAGGACTTTCAAATAGATTTAGTAATATTGGGTTTTTTTTTTCATTTCCAATGTTAATTTCATTAAGTAATGATGTCAAGGTGATTTTTTTTTGTCAAGGTGATTTAAAATGTAATATTTATAAATAAGCCAGAATTAGTTTTTGTAATTCATATTTCTTTTTAAATGGCCATAGTTACTTCCAGTACTTCTAAATGGATTCAATATTTTTTTTAAAGGGCCGTAGTCACCTACAGTACTTCTGAGTGGATTCATTATTTTTATTTTAAATACTTTGCTATCTCTCAATGTGTGGGCTTACTCATAGCCATGCCAATATGTGTGTATTTCTTCCCAAAAACTTCAGATAGTTTAAACTTTATGGTTAGTAGAATGATAGTTTTCTGACAGCAAGATTGAGCACTTACTTCTTAATTGACAGCAAACCCTCTATGAACAAGGAGAAAGAGAGAAGACTAGGCAATGAAAGAGTTGGGAGGGCATGGAAAACAGCAGGGGAGTAACAGACTGTGCAAAGAGTGGAGTTGAAGGGATGGACAGAGAGGAAATGAAGCTTGAGTTTGAAATTGTGTATTGAGCAGAGCACACACAAACCTGGTGAGAATTTGGGACTCTGGTTTCTCTCTCTGGCTCTTACTTGCATTTAAAGAATCTTTTTATAAGATTATTTTTAAACATTTGGATTTTTGTAGCTAATGAAAAAAGAACCAAGGAGACCATCAAAATAAAGAGTAATTAGAGTAAAGAAAAGAGGAAGTCTATTCAGTAACTACAGAAAGCTTTGATATAATAAATATACTATAAAGCATGTAAAATATGCAAAATCATATTCGTATATTGAAATGCTATGAAATATTGTATTAGGGATTTATAAAAGAATATATGTGTATTATACGATATCAATGAATGAAAAATAGGCCATGAATTTGAAGAAAAGCAAGGAGCTTTATGTGGGAGAGTTTAGAAGCATAAAAGAAGAGGGAAGAAAGTTGTAATTACTTTATAATCTCAAAAATTAAAAAGAGCCTTCAAACAACTTCATAGTTTTATGTGTCCACTTTTTACTCTCTCTAATTCTGCAAATTCTACTTTAATTCCAGATAATGCGCAGGAAGAGGTAGTGAGATTCCATGTGGAGTGAGTGCAGTGGGAAGGCTCCTGAGCTGCTCGTGCTGCAGAGATATATTTTCTGTGTCATCTAAATCTAAGTCTTCTGTCAATCACCTGGCCAGAGAGATGACTTTCATTTCAGGGGAACCACTAATAACTCTTAATATCCTACTTTGCCTTTCACCTCATTTCTTCAGCATTTCATGAAAACGATGGAGACAGAGTGGGTCAGACAGTTGTTACAGTTGTAGGTTGCAAATCCCGTTCCTTTATTCCTCTTTTATATCACTATAAATTATTTTAAAAATTTGATTTGCAGTCTTATGACCCACATCTCACTAAATATTTAAAGTTGATATTATATTATTGATAACTGTATTAGATAGGACATAAAATACAGTTCTCAAACTGCCTCACTCTTCTATGTATACTAATGAAATTCTCTCGTTGCATCCTTAAATATTTTATTACATGTTGTGGTGATTTGAACAGGAACAACCCCCATAGAATCAGGTGTTTGAAATCTTGGCCAGTAGGGAGTGGCACTATTAGGAAGTGTGGCCTTGTTGGAGTAGTTGTGGCTGTGCTGCAGGAAGCATGTCAGGTTGTGGGCAGGAGTTGAGGTCTTATACATTCTCAAGCTATGTCCAGTGTGGAACACCATCTCCTTCTTCTGCCTACAGATCAAGATATAGAACTCTCAGCTCCTTCTCTAGCACCATGTCTGCCTGTATGCTTCCATGCGTGCTTCCTGCCAAGGTGATAATGGACCAAACCTTTGAAACTGTAATCCAGTCCCAACGAAATGTTTTCCTTTATAGGAGTTGCCATAGTCATGGTGTCTCTTCACAGCAATAGGACACTGACTAAAACACTACATGTATTTGGTGAGGGGGTGCAAACATTTGCCAATGTGCATGAAGAGTTCAGAGGACAATTTGTCTTTGCTTCTGCCATGTAAGATCTGGGGATCCAACTCTGGTCATCACCTTATTAGCACCTTTACCCCAGGAGTCATCTCTGCAGCCCCACCCACTGGTGATTTTTAAAACAACTAATTAAGTCAGTATCAGTCAGCACCAACGAGTCCCAAACACCCAAAAACTAAAGCGACTGAAGCAGCTACAGGATGCGCAATTTATCTAAAATAATAATAGCCATTTACCTTGACGTTGTAAACACTCCGTAGACAATTGGATTTTTAGGATCTTTAGAGTTCATTAGAAATACATCCTCTGTTTCAAAACAAAATCAGAGAAGGCTGTATTTGTTTGTAGTTCTTATAAATGCTGAACATATGCCCTATGCATCAAACATCAGCCACTTACGCAATTCATCAAAATGGGTGTCAATGCCGTTTGGACCCGGCACTGAACAAATCAGGCGTGCTTTCAGAAACGTCGTCCATTTATTCACAAGACTTCTGTGTCCTCCAAAGTCATTCTGAAAGGTAATAAAATTAACTCTATAGAACGAGCATGCACAATATTATCAACTATGGCTTCATTTCCTACTTCTTTTAAATTTTTAATTTTTTATTCACTTTATATCCTGGTTGTAGCCGCATCCCGCCCCCTTCCAGTCTCCTTCTCCCTCCCACCTTTCCTATTCCTCGGAAAATGGGATCTCCCTTTCCCATCCAGCCCAGTTCAAGAAGTTGCATCAGGACTGAGCATGTCCTCTTCCCTGGAAGCCTGTCAAGGCAGTCTTGCAACAGGGAAGTGAATGAAAAGCTAGCCAGTGAGTCCGGATCCAATGCAGTCCCCTTAATAGAGAGCCCACATTATTTCCCTTCAGAAACGTGAATGAAATTTTGTTTGCCATTCTGAACGAGTTTAAGCATCCTCCTAGGATCCTCCTTAGTGTTTAGCTTCTTTAGGTCTGTAGATTTTAGTATGTTTATCCTGTATTATATGGCTAATATCCACTTCTATGTGAGTGTATATCATGTGTGTCCTTCTGTTTCTCGGTTACCACACTTGGGGTGATCTTTCTAGTTCCATCCATTTGCCTGCAAAATTTCATGATTTCCTTGTTTTTAATAGCTGAATAGTATTCCACTGTGTAAATGTGCCACAATTTCTGCATCCATTTCTCCGCTGAGGGACATCTGGGTTGTTTCCAGGTTCTGGCTATTACGAATAAAACTGCTATGAACATAGTTGAACAAATATCTTGGTTGCCTATTGTTGATCCCTTGTTCTGGTGGTGTCTCCTTACCAGGTCACAGAAGAAGGGGATCCAGGCAGTCCCGATGAGAATTGAATAAGCTATGGGCAGATAGCAAAGGAGGAGAACTCCCCCTTTCAATGGACTAGGGGAAGGGGATGGGGGGAAAAGGACAGAAGGGTGTGACAGGGAGGAGTTGAGCTTCAGTTGCGATATATAATGAATAAATTGTGCAAAAAAAATTCTGCATTTTCCCATTGCAACCAAGAAGTTCCCCATTCTTTGTTTTTTAAATGTGCCATAGCCATTCTGAATGATTATATATAAACTATTATCTTACTTATTATATATTTGATCATATCTTTGAAAATTCAGTAAAGGAAATCTATGTGTCTTAAATGTCACATTTTGCCAGTTAATGAGAATATGTTAACTAATTTAGACTACACATGGAACGAAACATTATTTAGTCATTTAATGTGATTAAAGTAGGAAGACCAGTTAGGTACATTTAGTCTAATATATTAATATGAATATTGCATGACTTCATAAAAATGAGCCTAAAATGTTGAATTCACAAATGCAGTGTGTAGAATGCTGAACCACTGACACTAGCAGAAAACTGGGGTTTGAGGACATATTGGTCAAATGTTGGGAAATGTTAAAAATTTTGGAGAGACAGGAAGAATAGGTTTAAGAGAACAATTATACGGTATGACTGATACAGGTAGTTTTGATCTTGTAATCTTAAAAATTTGCTAAGAAGCAGTTTTACATATTGTTACCACCTATAATAAAAATATGTGATTTAAAACATACATTAACCTTGCTTTCTTGATTTATCTACTTGTAAGTGTCAAAATGTTATGTTGTATATGATAATTGCATAGAACATTTTGCAATTAACTTAGTTTTAAAAGAAATTTTTCTTCCACTTTGTTACTATTGTCTCATGAACAATTATTAATTGTAGGGTTGTTCTGGGTGGTTAGGATGGTTCTCCCTCTTCTTACTGAGTGGGTTTTTTTCTTTGAATGTTACTGACCTCCACAGCCTGACTCAGGACTGTTACTGGGCATCTACAGAATGCATGATGAACAAATTCCTTGTTATCTACACTGACAATAAGTCCTCAAACAAGTCCTTCTACTAAAACCAGACACTTTAACAGCTTATAGTATTGAAACAATTTATACATTGTAACCAGTAGGTTGGTAAAATATTACAATGAAAATATTTTAAAAATATCTTGTTACTGCTAACAAAATATAATTTTAATATAAATGCAACACTGAATTCTACGGCAAAGGTATATATTTACCAAGAGATACTATCTTTAAAACTAATTTTTATATATACACATTGCAATAGCAGAGTTTCCTTAAATTAGAACATCAATTTATATTCTGTCTATATGGTGTTTTTATAATAAAGTTTTTTCAAACTCTATAATACTTTAAAACTATTTATTTTTATGAAAGGTCTGATTTGTTTAAATAGTGTTCTATGTTTCCAAATAATCAAGGAAGATTTTCTAGAACTCAATTTTACTATATAATCAGATCATAATGTGATAAGAAATAGATCAGAAAGGCACCATGGGTTTTTACCTTTTTTACACACTGAATCACCCAGAAAAACAAATATCAGAGAACTTCATTCAGGCATTTGTATATGTTTGAGCAAGAACCTATGTGTATGATACAATTATCAAATTGTAAAAATAAGTTTTCTTGATTTTCTCTCAATATTCAATATTCAATGCATTATCTATATTTTGATACCAAATATCCATTCAAAACATAACAGTGTAGGAAACTGATAAATCTGAAAATATACACTAGGTAATATTTTGTACTTATACATACAGGAAAATACTTTATACTACATGATTCCAAAATGAAATAATAAATGTAATTGTAAAGTAATGTTACTTCACATATCCCTATTTGTATATTTAACATTCTGACATTGTCAAAAGTAATTAATCTAATATAATTTTCAATCATTTTTAACATTTAAATTTCTGTCATTAGATACATGTTAAACTCTATAACACCAGTGGAAAATAAAAAATGAAATCACACGTGACTATTTTTTCCTTTACCTCACCTTGCATATCTGACCTATTCTTGCATGAGTAGCTTTTCCAGAATGTTCTCCGTCTATTGCATTTTCTCGGAAGAAAAAGTATACTTTGTCATCTTCAGGGTTGTCACTCTCTGGGATAAGATGGGCACTGATGAATCTAGGATCTGAGAAAAACATCATGGTTATAAATCTGCAGTTTAATGGGGGAAAAAAAAGATACTGTTTTTAACAAAATCTCTAACACTTTTTAACCATAAAGAAAAGGGAGCCAGATTCTGGGATGAAAGCCTGCTGGGTCAGAGAGACAGAGAAACAAGTTTTTTCAGTAAACAACATAATCTCAGGGTTCACAGTGTGATGAAATATAATGGTGTATATATAATATAAAATATAATAATTGCAACATAATGGTGTATAGTGTTTGTTTTCAACTTTCTTCTGACTCCTCTGTGCTATGTTAAGAAAGTAGCATTTCCTTACTCAGCTCACTTTTGGGGGAATCATTTCATGTGGTATCTGTCTATTGTGAATTATATTATAAATTATATTGACCTTCATAAAAGATACCAACTTTTTTTCTGGAATGTTCGGCATGTGTTACAAAAACCACATAGGGCAAACGATTTATCAATTATCAAAATCCTTTGCAATCTTTAGTGTTATTAAGTGGTTTTTTTTGTTGTTGTTGTTGTTGCTGTGTGCTGTTTTTCCTCCTTTCGTGCATAAATGTACACAAAACACAGTACTGGGTAGTCCTTTCCTGTTTCTACCAAGGGCTGGTAGATTGGGAGCGAGAGTGATATCTGTTTAAAGCAATAGAATTTCCTATTCTGAACTTTGCTGTTGCTAAGTCGGAGGATGGCAACATCACCTACTTGGGCAGATAGGCCAGCCTGTGAGGCTGCTTGTGCTCTCATGTGCTGAGTTCTGTCTGCTACTATGTATCACCACCTCGCAGCACATCTCCAAGGTCATACAACCTGTATAAGCTTCCGCTCCATTGTGTCTGTCTCGAGCCAGCCGGTGCTCTTCAACACTCATTGATAAGAAAATACAGAATTCTTAACATAAGGGGCTGCTTTCTTAAGGTAACGGGGGCGGTTACTTTTCTGTGCTAACTGACACGTATGTTCTGCTACATACTATTCCTTCCCAAGCTTCTGCTGGACAACACATGCTAATGCTAATCCTGTTTCTCAAACATGTTATACTCAATCTGCTCTGCTGTGGATCTTGTTCCCCTGGGAAACCCGGACTTAAGCTAACCTCAAGCTCAAATTTTACAAATCCTACTTTATTCAGGGCTTTCCTCAAATATCCTCTCATTAGCTAAAGCATTGACACCCTGCTCTTGATCAGTGTCTATATATTCTATCATGTATATTTTCCTCAACACAATTGAGTATTGCATATGACTGATTCTCATTCTGTCTCTGTCTCTGACTCCCTTTTTTATCTCTGTGTGTGTGTGTGCATGTTAATGTGTCTATTGCTCAGTCTCTTATATTTAAACTTGTTATAACCTGTTTCCCTCTCCACTCGAAAGTACAGAATTTAGCATATTTTGTACATTCTTTAGCCTCAGGCTCAAATTCCAGAAATTCTACTTTATTCAGGTCATTCCTCAAATATCATCTCATTGAGTAAAGGGTTGACACCCTGCTCTTGAACAGTGTCAATTTATTCTATTATGTATACTTTCTTCAACACTATTTAGTTTTCATACAACTGATTCCCTCTTTGACTCTCTTTCTGCATCTCTCTCTCACGCACTCTGTGTGTATGTGTGGATTTGAATATGTATGTGTCTGTGTCTTGGTCTATCTTATTTAAACTTGCTACAACCTGTCTCCCTCTCCACCCAAAAGTACAGAATTTAGCGAATTTTGTTCATTCTGTAAATTCCGAGTTTAAACTACAGCTTAAAGTATGACAAAGGAAAAGACAGGGAGAAATGATAAACAATCCAGAATCTACTAACAATAACAGAAAGTATGTCAGCCATCCTGAGAGTCCCTCCTTAAAAACACTTCGGTAAATTATGGTGTGATATGGCTGTATCTCCCATAAAATAGTGTGACGGTGCCGTGGTGTTACCATGCATTATGCTAAGAAGCTGTGTTCAACTCAGAGGAAGCAGTTTTCAGGATAGTGCAGACATCTAAATTACTGCAGCAATCTAACCTCACAGTATGGTCAATTATGTTATCAATGTAATAGCGTAATATACACATCTATATAGTCCAGCACCACACTTAAGAGACCAAGGAAATGAGCAAACCAAGAAATTAACTTACTTATGTCATCCAGCCCTGACCTAAAGCCTTAAATAATCAACATTATAATGTGTGCTATATTTATGAAAAAATTTAAAGTTTGGTCCAGTATAATATCCCCCTTAGTGTGTTCACAAAGATACACACCTTTTCATTTCAGGCTAATCTATACCGACTCTGTAAGTAATGTAGAACACATGAAATATTTCCAGTGAGCAAGAATTATGCAGTAATAATTTAAAAATAGAATCACCTCCTACTAGAAGTCATAAAGACCCTTAAAATAATAAATCATTTTGAGAGTAATAATTATTGGTAAACCTGCTTTAGTGAATAAATTTCTATTAATTAAATGTCTCACATGTTTGCACACATATGCCTCATGAAAAATGACAAGCAGAGCCTTCCTATAATAGGTCAAAGGTTCCTACTACATTGATGAGGTTCAACTTTGAGAAATGTGTGTGGTGTGTGCGTGCGCGTATGTGTAAATAAATAGCATGCATAAACAACATAGAACAATTCTGAACCTGAAAGAACTCTATTCAGTCTCCTGTTACTTTTGTGTTATCTTTGCCAAGTTTTCCTTTCGGATTTCAGGGGCTTAATTTTCAAAGTGATTTTACTTAAAATGGAGATATTTAAAATGTAGTTCTGTCATCTCGTTTATCATAAATAGTTCATTCAAGAAGAAGCTGTTTTAACATTTAATGTTGACATGTGATATTTCTGTGCATGTAATTAGCATCCCTGCTTGCTAAAGGAAGCCTTACACTAAGCCTGGAAACTGCTTTCTAAGGCAGCTATCGGAAAATGATGATAAACTGCACATTGCTCCACTTTAATACTAGAGAAACACAGAGAAAAGTTGCTCAAATGTCACCTTCCAAACTGATGCAGTTGTTTCTACAAAGACTGGACTAAAAAAGAATATAAAGCCACTACATTTAACTGCTTTTATTAGGTTTTTTTCTTGTAGAAAATAATCTATTTTTAATCTAAGTCTTAAGGATATTAAGTGTTTGTAAGGATATAATTAAATTAATAAATTTTAGAGGGAAAGTGAGATAATTTATAGTACATCATCTCCTGAACAAGCATTAACCAAACATTAACATCTATATTTAAAATGCAGTTTTTTTAATTATTATTTTGCCACTTGTATGTTTTCAACATGGCTTTCTATCAGTATAGCTTTATGAAAAGGAACACTTTTTGTTTGCAATTTGATATTCAATAGATTAGTTTCATGGATCTCTTATTAAGTAGTATTTTCATTTATTAAATATTTTCTAAGTATCTACTCTTTATTTTGATTATAGATGATACTATGATAGACTATTTCATGTTCTCATTATGGTTACTGCAACCAAATTTCGAATAGGAAAGTATTCTAAATCTTAAGCTGCAAAAGAAAGAGCCAAACTAAGAGTTAGAAAGACAATAAAGGAATGGTTTTTACTTTTTTTTTCTCAGAAGTTAAGATGTGAGGAACAAGGAATTTCTCCCAAAGAAGGAAAACATGTACCAGATGACAGAAACAACAGAGAACATTGTGTCCACAGAGAAGACAAAATGGAGGGGAAGTGGTCAGTGATGTTGACAGAAAGTTAAGATTTAAGATATGAAGTTCTATTCATAGATGTGTATCTCTTCACAGCAGTGGGAAGAAACAACAAAGCATTTGAAATACAATAACATTATTATGTCACTGTGTGGAAGGATTGCTGCTCTGATTTCTTCAAAGAATAAAAAAGAGTGTGGGGGGGCAGGCATGGGTGTATGGAAGCAGGCAGAGAAAAGGCACAGTAAGGCAAGAAGAAAGGCTAGTAGACCAAGCTGAAGCAGCCACAGACAAGACCGGGGCAATAGTGACCTGGGTGAGTAAGGGTCAGTGAAGACGAAGTAAAGGATGCATGTACCACTTATTTTAAATTAGACTTGATGTTTTATACTCACTGGTAGAAAGCTGAATGCATGGGGCCATGAATAAAACCATGGGCAAATAAAGAAAAATCTGATCTAAATCAGTGGCTAAAAAGGAGTCACTTTACAGAAAGAATTACTATGTAAAGAAGGGCTGAATCAAGTGGAGAAGGACCATATCCTCTGTTTACTACTCTTAAGATCAAAAGACTTGTGCCTTTCCCAGCATATCATGAGGAAAACACCCATGAAAGAAGGGTGGCCATGCTAGACGTTATTTGAAATGAAGATGATTAAATGACTAAAATGATATTGGCTAAAAGAGGACAGAGTATAGACCTTACGGTTTGAATATGAAATGCTAATCATGAGCTCGTGTGTTTATACACTTGGTTCCCAGGTAGCAAATAAGGGGGATGCTAAGGTACCTTTAGTATATTGTGTCTAACCGGAGGAAACGGGCTGCTGGGGACTAATCCTTCAGATTTCTAGTCCAGCCCCGTTTCTGTCCTCTCTTTCTCAGTTCCCAAGCTGCTCTCAGGACAGTTTTCACTATCCAAAGTCCTTCCCTGACATAGACTATATCCTGTAAATTATGCACCTTTAAGCTTGTGTGCCCTCAGGCTGATTTATTATTTTATTATATTGCGTTACAAGCAAAGTAACTAATACATTCCCAAGACCCTACATCCCCAAGAAAAAGTGATTTAAAGAAGAAAGAAAGTGATGCTATAGAGATGGTAGTTCCTGGGCATTTTCCATCTTTCCCTCTTCAACAACAACTTTGACTTAAAGTTTCCCTTTAAATTTCTTTATATTAAAAATGGAAGCATACCCACAGATGCCGTTTTAGGTAATATTGCTATGTCTCATGTCCATCAAAACACAGGACCAGAGCACAGGCCCCTCTTCCCATCTGCCCCCAAAGTTTTACTAACTGGGTTCTGTTTCCTTTTTAGGCG